TCATTTAAATCTGTCTAATTTTTAAACTGTCTGTCATAAATCAACATCTCAGGAAAATGTCATGGGGTTTCAAATCAAAATATGACTTTCTGTTACGAAACAGGACGTTGATTTCATACATGTCCTCATATGAAGACACCGGGACTAAAAGCATGTTTATTAGCATTTTGGGAGACACAACAAATGAAGAGGGAAAGAAATTATGTTTCAATATTCTATGAAATATTATATATTATTATGAAAATCTTGTCAAATATTACTCCCATTATTACACTTGTTTTTTCATTACATGTTGCCCCAAAAACACATTAATATGCAAATTAGATTTAGTTTATAGATACATTGTACATAATGAGAAAAACTGTTTATGGCCATTTTACACACATTTTGCAGAAAGAAAAATTGTATATCAAATATTTCTGTTATAACATAGTTGAGAATCATCTTTATACAAAGTTTGATAAAAAAAAAAAACCTTGAAAACTAAAAATGTATTGGTGATTTTAAAAAATCTATTGTTTTTGCCTATGCATGTTCATTCATGTATTTTTATTTTTTTTAAGAAATTGAGTCCCGATGTTAATTGTAGCATAACTTATGAATGAAATATCTTTTTTTAATATATATATTTTTTTACATTATTTTAATGCTCTAAACAATGTAAAGATATGGAAAAAAACTAACTTTTTCCTAAAACTTTTTTCTCAGGTCTTAAAAAGTTAAAACAGTTAAACTATGGTAACCACAAATTACCCATGGCTTTACAACACTAACCATAGTTTAACCATGGTATCTCTGGTAAAACTGTGGTTATACAAATGATAACCAATCCGCCAAAAACATACACTTTTGGCTATTAAAACCATGGTTAATTTTCATAAAGGCAGCATAAGGCTGTACCGGTTTGCTATTTGTCTTCCAGACATTCACAACCACAACAGCCCACAACCTCTTTAAAACCATCAAACCAAGCCAACTTGGACTGATTAGGAGAACAGCTAACCACTGACTGGTTTAGCTTTTTTTCCGCAAGGTTAGGTTCCAACCATGTTTAAAATGTTTTACCATGTCAATGCTTTTAAGAGTTAAAAAAGAATCCAGTAGAAAGGAGAACGTTCTAGCTGCGGAGGAGGATGCTGCGATTAATAAAAAAATCCCAGTGAGCAACACATCTCAAGAATACGAGATGAAATAAAACATAATTTACCAGACATTAGTAACATATAGTTTTTGCCTATGCATGTTCATTCATGTATTTTTTTAAAGAAATTGAGTCCCGATGTCCTCTACCGAGGACATAGCATAACTTATGAATGAAATATCTTTTTTTAATATATATCTTTTTTACACTATTTTAATGCTCTAAACAATGTAAAGACATGGGAAAAACTAACTTTTTCCTAAAACTTTTTTCTCGGGTCTTAAGAGGTTAAAACAGTTAAACTATGGTAACCACAAATTACCCATGGCTTTACAACACTAACCATAGTTTAACCATGCATCTGTGGTAAAACTGTGGTTATACAAATGATAACCAATCCTTTTGGCTATTAAAACCATGGTTAATTTTCATAAGGGCAGCATAAGGCTGTACCGGTTTGCTATTTGTCTTCCAGACATTCACAACCACAACAGCCCACAACCTCTTTAAAACCATCAAACCAAGCCAACTTGGACTGATTAGGAGAACAGCTAACCACTGACTGGTTTAGCTTTTTTTCCGCAAGGTTAGGTTCCAACCATGTTTAAAATGTTTTACCATGTCAATGCTTTTAAGAGTTAAAAAAGAATCCAGTAGAAAGGAGAACGTTCTAGCTGCGGAGGAGGATGCTGCGATTAATAAAAAAATCCCAGTGAGCAACACATCTCAAGAATACGAGATGAAATAAAACATAATTTACCAGACATTAGTAACATATAGTTACCCGCAAACGGAACATTAAAAAGAAATAACGCTTCAAAGACTCGCTTTTATTCTTACCGATGATCGGTCTGTAATTTAAATTACGAGCGCATGATGCTGGAAAACCGCATTGAAAAGCGGCAAACACCGCGAGCGCGAACACCTGGCGATACATCCACCTCAGGTAGCACACCAAAGGACGAAATAAAGGAAAGCTCCTCGATGTTATCTGTAAAGAAGGCAATGTCAGCTGCACTGGCGATGTCAGGCTTTTTAACGAAAGCTGCGCCCGGATCCGCTTATCCGCAATCGAGCGGCGCCTTGACGCGTGAATTATTGAGGCGTTGACTGTTCTTCAGGATCAGCTCTGATGAATTCACAATCCAATGAGAGAATAGCGAAAAGTCAGGGCTGGCCCTGCCCACTCGAATCGTCATCGTCACAATGACATGCCTGTCAAAATGTTCTTAAAGGGGTCATATGATGCGATTTCCTTTCTCTTTAGAGTGTTACAAGCTCTTGGTGCATAAAGAAGATCTGTAAAGTTGCAAAGACTGAAGTCTCAAATCCAAAGAGATATTCTTTATAAAAGTTAAGAGTCAGCCACGCCTACCTAAAACGGCTCTTCTAACACGCCCCCACACGTCTACGTCACTATGTGGGAAGATTTGCATAACGCCGCACAAATGTTCACTCAAAGAAAGAAGGCGTAACTTTTATTCTCGCTGTAGTATTGTTGCCGCCGCCGCCATGTGGTGAAGATGCTGTGTGCTTCGTTGTGAAAGTGAAACTACTTTGTTTGGTCTTCCAAAAGAGGACGATATCGCTTCGTCATGCCTAGAGCTGATCCGTGCTGGTCGCTGAGGAAATATATCAACTTCGCGCTGTCGATCGCCGAATCGGCTTTCACCGTGGACGAAGTGGAGTCCAGCCCAGGGTCGTCACATGTGGTTGCTGCAGGCATCACAATATGGTAAGGGACGTAACATTTTCGTCACACGCTTGAGGAATTCAGCCAACCACAACACACTGGATAGCTGGCCAATCACAGCACACCTCGCTTTTTCAGAACGATGAGCTTTGTAAAAATCGACGCGTTTCAGGAAGGCGGGGCATAGAGGAGAAACAATAATGTACAGTATGTGGAAAATACTGTTTTTTTACCTTAAACCGCATAAGCACATTTCATTACACCAAATAAACAAAATAATGTTCTTTTTAGCAGCATCATATGACCCCTTTAAATTCCAACTGCATTTTTGTCAGAAGCTAATTGTAATACCACGTGTGTTTTAAAAAAAATTATTAAGCCTAACGTTACGTAAACGTTACATTCTGTTAAAGATAATTGACACAAATGCACAATGGAAAAGCTATAATTAACGATTATTTTCTACGTTCAGTACAAAGGAAAGCATTGTATGACATTATTAAAACAACATCAAGACAAATCTCTCTGTGACAATCATCATAACACATAATCCCATAATTAACACTGATGACCTTTCATAACAAAGTAGGTAACACTTGTACTCGTACTTACACTAATGGTACATCAGCTGTGTTGAATGAATAAGGCCCTGGTTATGTAACACATAGCAAGGCTTCTGTACATCAAAAGGAACCAACCTACCAGAAAATAGTTTTTCTGAGGGTTGCTAAAAAGTAAACGTGGTTCTCAAACAAGGGTGAGTAAGCTGCATAAGTTCAAAAGTTCCAGTAGCTCAACTGAGGACACATAGATAACTTTCTGAACATTGTGGGTAACAGTATTAAAGACAGAATGTGCTGCCACTAAAGGGCAAGTTCTTCGCAAAAAACGAACCGACTTCCTGTCAATGCTTAAATGCTGACAGGCCACAGGTCTGCTACCTACCAGACCACAAAAACAGAAACAAGTGTTTAGTAAGCAGAGAGTAGATGAAAGAAAATACTTTTTTATTGCAGAAACGGATGTTAAGTAAAAATATGATTGCACAAGAATCAGAATTGGTTATGAGCTCGATGCCATTTTGTGTTACAGGGCGTTCATAGAATATAAAAACATAATGATAGATTTATTCTTGTTATAGCAAGTCAGTTATGGTTTGATAATGATTTCAGAGCTCTTCTTTTCTGTTCAGCTCTTCTGGATCTGATGTCATAAACCAGAACAACAACAGTAGCCACGCCCACCAGAGCAGAGACAGCCAATTGGATCACAGCTTCAGTTGAATTACAACAGCAGACGCATTCTGAAAGGGGGAAAAAACTAAATAAATATCCATATACAGTGGGTACGGAAAGTATTCAGACCCCCTTACATTTTTCACTCTTTGTTATATTGCAGCCATTGGCTAAAATCATTTAGATTGATAATGTGCTGCTGATGTGCTGGTCAGTGATGGTTTGATGGTACCTGCACATGGTTGACAGAGTTGACTGATATCCAGATGTTGAGTCTGGTTGCTGATGGGATTGTTGAGCACACATCTGTAGGTGTTTTTATCCTGATATTCCACTTCCAGAGGTAGAGAGAGACTGATGCTGAGATCAGACACACTGATGCTGGACAATAAACTGTTTCCTTTGTACCAGGAGAGAGTCACATGACCCACATTCACCACTGAACACAGCAGCACACATCTGGACGCTGATGATCCTGATGGTGAAGGGTTTTGAGGACAGTAACTGGTGATGACAGGAACGGGAAGACGAGCTGGAAAACATTTGAGAAACATAAATAAATCAGAATAAATTGTCTGTGTCTGAGTCTATGCCTTTTTACTCACCAATGACAGTAACATTGAAAGTTTTCTTTGACACTTGTTGTCCAATCATCTGTGCTTTATAAAGTCCAGAGTCTGTGGTTCTGATGTTTGTGATGGTCAGAGATCCAGTCTGATCATCCAGCTTCAGTCGGTCTCTGAATATGTTGTGAGTTTCAGAGATGACTTGGTATGATATGTTGAGTTTAGCGATACAATAGTTTCCACTCATCCACATTATCAGATCATCCTCTTGTATTTTAGTCACACCAGTCGGTAAGGTGACAGAATCAGCCTCCATCACCGACAACGACTCGATTTCATCTGCCTCAACACCAATCACACCTGAAACATACAAGAGCACTTTCTTCTTAAAGGGGTCATATGATGCGATTTCAATTTTTCCTTTCTCTTTGGAGTCTTACAAGCTCTTGGTGCATAAAGAAGATCTGTAAAGTTGCAAAGACTAAAGTCTCAAATCCAAAGAGATATTCTATATAAAAGTTAAGAGTCAGCCACGCCTACCTAAAACGGCTCGTTCTAACACGCCCCCACATGTCTACATCACTATGTGGGAAGATTTGCATAAGGCCGCCCAAATGTTCACGCAAAGAAAGAACGCGTAACTTTTATTCTCGCTGTGGTATTGTTGCCGCCGCCATGTCGTGAAGACGCTGTGTGTTTCGCTGTGAAAGCGAAACTACTTTGTTTGGCCTTCCAAAAGAGGACGATATTTGCTTTGTCATGACTGGAGCTGATCCGTGCTGGTTGCTGAGGAAATACA